TGTACCAAAATTAAAGAACAGGTTAAAGGGATGTAAAAGATCCAAACTTTACACACAAAAGAGAGGATTTTGCAGAGGTTTCAAATAAGCAACCTTTTACAAATCCCTGTGTATAATCTATGCCAAAATAATCTAAAAATTAGAAATAAAAGAGAGAAACTTTATGCCAAAAATAACTGGAAAAAATTAAAAAAAAAAATAATAATAATAATTGAATCGCTGTTCTGAATCACCTGGCTTTCAAAAAATTTAGAGAAGCCCTTTAAAACGAACGCTTTGGAAAGTCCTTCCCCTGTGAAAGCTCAAAATCAAGATAAATCAGACCATGAAAATCAGATCAAGATTTTGAAAGACAGACGATGACAGAAAGGGATCCAAGAAGCGGGGTGTTACAGAGAAAAGGGGGGAAAACTAAATTAAAAATTGCTAAGATAACTCTCTTTGAGTCTGAACTCGCTGATTTTTTTTTTTTTCTCTTGTGGATGATAATGGTGGAACTCTCTGCTTAAATAGGCCAAAATCCCAAGTGGGTTGGCTCTCTCTTCATTGATTTTGTGGTTCCATTTTCTCTCTCTATAAGAATAAGAATTTTTAATTTTTTTTTTTTTTAAAAAAATCTTAAGTAAAACTTGCGTAAAGAATAAATTCCACTTTATTTTTCTCGAATCCCCCTATCCCCTTCCCCTAATATATTAATCCAGAATGTGTTGAGTCCATATGGCTGTTTTTGGTGCTTCGAAATCATATGTGACAATATTACATGCTTGGTTTATTCCTTAGGTAAATGTTAATTTAATTCTAAATCAAAAATATATAAGTTCAGATTACCATATATGTTGATTATTTATGGTCATGTTACATTTATTAATTGCATTTTAATATCATTCCTTCTTATAATTATTGAATTGTATATATATTAAAAGTTAATAACTTTTGTATTTTTTATCAGTTTTATATATGTAATATATCAAATTAATCTTCTTTTGATGAGCTTCGATTTAACATCCATATTGTATGTACAAAAAATAATTTATATTTATCTTTATAACAATAATAAAATTATTTTTAATATTAATTAGAAAATAAAATTATTTATCAACTAATATATTTATATTTCAAGTAGTTATATGATATAAATTATAAAAACTAATATAATATAACACATGTAAGTCATAAGTAACACATATCATTCTAAAATATATAGTAATATATTTTTTTGTAAAAAAGTAAACTAAATTTAATATAGTTTTCTCATTAATTTTAAAATTTAAGAATAATTTTTTAACAAGCACTCGTGTAATAGACGGGTGTTGTACTAGTAGTTACGGTTAATCTTGAAAAAAAAAATATTCTTTTTCTATCAGTAATACAATGATTTATTTAAATAATATATTTGATTTCCTACAAAGAATATTATTACAAAGATAGAATAGTTTCTAGCCATTATTTCCCTTTTTTTTTTTCAACTGGAGGTATCCCCACGTTCCACTCCTAGACTTCACCACGAACTGCCAGCCCCCCACGGGGTACGGGCCTAACGGCCTAAGGGATCCACACCCAGAGGTGTGGGACTAATCCTCCAGGAGAAGTGAAGTGCCCCATCCCCACTTCCCACGATAGTCACGTTCGATCCTCTGACCTTCGCTTTCACAGGGAGTTTCACCCTCCCACTAAGCCAGTGGACTATCTGCCCTGGGGGCCATTATTTCTGTTGATAAAAAGATTTGATCAACTGTTTAGAATATAAATCCTCGAAAAATAATACGAAAAACGAGGTGATTTTATTAGTTAAACGGGAACAGTCTCAAGTCGGTATTTCGGACTTGAAGTCGGGTTTTTCTTAGTACAATAAGTCGGCAGTAAATGATGAGCCGAAATGTTTAATGTAGAATTTAATGTGCCGGAAAAAGATCCTCGTATCGAGTTTAATGCTGCTATTTATAGTAATTGCGGGCTCGTCTTTTTAGGAGATACGGCTGCATTTAATGCGGTGTGACAGAGCGCAGGCTTTTTCTGCAGGTGGGCCCCTCAGCAATAATGTTCTCACGTGGCTCTTGGACATCTGATGGACAGGCATTTAATGCTGCCTGTCGGTACCGACGTCAACCCTCTTTTGAGTCCCCTTTACTGAGGAGGTCGGTCCCCTGAAGAGGTCGATTTCCGCAGCTCGGGGAGCTTTCTCTTTCTTCTCTTCGGCGCGGCTCTCGATCTTTCCCATAGTCCACGTGTCGTTCATCCGACGTGCGAGAAGATTCTTATGTCAACAATTTCCTACTTTTCAACTTTTATATTTTAATGAATTAATGAATGCGAGAATTTGAAAATAAAAAACATAAAAATAAAATACAATTTGACTCATCTTGGCAAATAGACTGACCCATTAATTCATTTTTTTTTTCCGAAACGTTAGATATTATAGCTCCAAACAAAGAATACAACAGGAGGCTAATTAGCCTACAAACTTATCCAAAGGATAGAACTGAGAAACACCAACAAGGTGCTCCAAACCAAAACCAAAGAAAAGAATGATATTCTTGCTATCGGCAGTCACAACAAACTGAACCCGATAGCTCGAACTACATTCTCCGCTGAACTATACACAACTGCAAAAAGCGAGTGACCACTGAACCCAAGGGACCTAGTCACAAGTTTACAAACTAATCAGAACAAAAGATGGATACCAAAAGAGCCGAGAACAAAAACAAGAAGAACCTAGCTAACTAGCAAGATTAAAGAATTCTGCCCAATACGAAAGTGCATTATGTACAATGGAAGTTTCCGGCCTCCACAAATTGTTAAAAACCCATTGATTTCTTTCCTTCCAAATCCACCTTTGAAAAATAACATCATATCACTTTGAAAAGTAAAACCTGGTCAGATCCAAAAATTAAGAATAAATTGCGCTAGAATTTTAAATACTCATTTTCATAAAAATCACAGAATATTTTTTCTTCAAATATTCACTAAAGTTGGGCTCGACTAGCTTTTACAAAATAAAATTTATCAATAACATAATCTATACTTATACTATTAGTAAACTCCCATTAGACAAAGAGAATCAAACAATCTTCAAGAAAACCATCCTTAATCTTACTACGAAGTGCTGCCTTCACATACTTCATGGATGAAAAAGCTCGTTTGGTTGTAGCAGTAGAAACTGGTAAGTCAGAACTAGATGAATGAATCTAGTTAACATAACATACACTTTCGATCTACCACTCTCTGTTAATCTCTGGCATAATTCAACGAGCCTAGATACCTGAAAAATCATTGTATATAGGACTCATGTCATGTAGCCTCATTCTTCATCTTTGCTTCATGATAATTTGGCCCTTAACTTCAAATGAGAAGCAAATGGTTTACTTACGGAGTTCGACCTATATTGCCTACGTCCTGGGGTACCGCTAAACGTAGCGCAAAATTTACTAAACCACCAACAAAATGCAACTAGGGTTAAATAACCCACAAAGTAAGATTTTTTTAATTAAGAATTTTCTTCTATGATATGAGAGAAGATAATAGGTGCAATTGTAACTCAAACACAATGGACTTATTTATATTAAAAATATCCTACATATATTTGGTATATTTCCGAGATGTGACAAACATTAATCAAAATTTAATAAAGCTGAGCAATCGTCTCATAAGTCGTGCTTGATTTCTTTCATACTTTGTTCGCTCTCGATGAACCAAGATTTTGAAAGCTCGAGCTTAAATTCCGTTTGAACTGAGATCTAGGTTTTAATAAACATAATTCTTATGTGAGACAACCTAATCATTAGGCGAGTCAACCCGTCATAATATTTAAACAACCTTTCATACTTATACTATAAAATGTCATACTTTTATTTATGATGTGTTTTAGAAATTTCCATACTACCCATCGGTCCCCATAAATCCAGATCGAGAAGAAAGGACGCGGCCGCCTTAGTCGGCCGGCCGAGCGAGCTGCGACCGCGATTAGCGGTCGGCAAGCATAAAAAAGAAATAATAAAAAAATTGAAACCGAGCGAGTTGCGATCGCGATTAGCGGTTGGCCAGCATAAAAAAGAAATAATAAAAAAATTGAAAAAGGTAAAACTGTCTTTTTGGGGAGCCGTATTTAGTAATAAGGGGGCGGTGTTTAGTAACACCCTTATTAAATATGTACTATTTGCTGCTTAATAATTGAGATATTTACAAAATATATGATTCAATTGATCCTCCATCTTCCCTTCTTTGGTGATGGCAACCTTGACCGCTCGGCCCATCCCTGAAGTTGTACGCCTCCGATGTTGCTGCGGTTGTCGGGGATTGGTGATCTGACCTCGGTTTCCGGCGGACCTGGTGTTGGTGAGCCCTAATCTTTGTTTGGTCGACGATTGGTCTCTTATCAGTCGGTGGGTCTTCTCTTGTTGATGGTCAGTCCCACGATCTACTCTGGATCTGCGTCGATCGGCTCCTTCTTTTT